ATGAATATGAAATATGAATAATAAAGAATAAAATAAAAGCGCCCCACTCGTTAGTTTAAGTATTTTTATGGATTTGAAGCCGGAATGAAGAAAGCCGAATTGCAGAAATTTACATGCGGTTTTCAATTAATTGGCATTTCTTATTTTTTTCCATTTATTTTATTTACATCCACATTCGCCGTTGTTCTTCATTCGTAGCCTTTCTCATCTTCATCACCTTCTATTCGGACTTTACAGCATGAGGAACACCTCAAATGTTATCCGCATCAGGAACTTGCGTTTTGCTTGTATTCCAAAGCGCAATTACAGGACTTGGCAAAGTGCCAAAAGCGCTGCGACCGCGCGAAGACGTCGCGCCGCGCGGACTGCTGTTAGCATAAACGGGAGTCTGCGCCGCAAAGGACATTGGGCGGAGCATGGAGGAATGAGCGTGTTTCACGGTCCTGTATCTCCATTCCTGCGCGTGTTAGGACGGTGAAACAGCTACGCTTCGACGGCAGCTGGGGAAGGGGGGGGAGGGTGATAGTCACGCACACTCAAACTATCTGTTGATCGCTACCATTGTGTCTTTGAGAAAACGTCCAGCGCGATATACGCCGGGCGCGACAGAGCCGGTAAACTGATGATTATCTTTACTGCATCTTCGAAATATCACCCTTTCAGTTCGCAGTGAAAATAAATGAAGGACGCCATCTGTAACAACGGCGACGATCCTGAATTCGAGAAAAAGCTCAGCTTTTGGAAGAAAATCAATATATTCCCGAAGAGAAGATGAAGTGCTTCAAAATGATGTATTACTGTCGATCTTGTGGACCATCAATCATTTGATGAAACCAACCCACTAAGAAAGGCGGCCGGAAGTTATTCCCCCAACCTAATTCATTTCGAGCCGCTGCTGTAGCTTGCTGCCTTGCGCGCTTTTCGCTTCACGGGCGCGGGGGGGGAGCCGTGGGGGACTTTTTGCCCACCATAACTAGTTCTTTCTTGCTTCAGTACATGTACGACTAACATCTTAACGATAACATCGTAACTAATATGTTAACCTGTAAACCTTTGTGAAGCCATGAAATGGCAAAAGTGAGCCATTTTGGTGGCAGAAACTGACAGGTTTTCACAAGGTGGCGTGTGCAAGCTCCGCAGAGTGCCATTTGGTAGCCCCAGCAAGGGGAACGGCGCCGAGATAAGGATATGGAGAGGTATAAGGGAACAAAGGCACCCGGCGTAAAACACGCAAAAAACGGAAACGAATGTATTCATGAGTACCCCAAACTGCCCCACCTTGTTGGAATAGCCATCAAACCCCTTCCAGAGAACGTTCAAGTTGGATGTTTAAAATGTAACGCAACACGCTTTCTTGCTATGAATTATTTAATCACGGCAATCGACGAAGCCGACTGAGTGCAAACGCATTTGCCGAAGCCACACAGCGCGTGCAAAACAGCTAGCTAAACTTCTATACCTGATGACAGATGGGTGACGAAAAAAAAACGTAACTGAGACACAACTTCAATCAAAACAAGCTTCCAGATATAAAAAAAAACTGAAAATTCAAAAATTGTCGCCCGTCCAAGACACACAGGAAGATATAAACAGGATCTCTCGAGAAGACTCGGTATCACCAACGCTCTCATCGCTTCGTTCAAATACCAATCGCGCGCACGCATATGGGGAAGTGCGCCCTCTCTACATTACAAACCCTTTGCTTCTCGTTGGCTATCCACATATTAAAAAAAAACCCAAAAAAAATCATGAAGACCACCCTCAATAAGGACCTGAGCACATCTTTGTTGGAAAATCTCCTACAGGGGATCGTATCTGCCAGAGGGGGGGTCGTATTTGGGCTGAGAAAAATTTATTTTGATAGCAGATTTTTCTGGCTTCACGACGTTGTAAAAGGAGGGGGGGGGGTCGTATATACTTTCTGGCCTTTCTAGGAGTGATGGTTGACTGACTTTTCGTGATTTTCCTGTTTCATGCGTACTATATACCCTGGACGAATTCTCAGGACCTGCTCGTTCTACGCCAGCAAAGCGATACCCTGTTGCCTCTGGTTCTCTAATCGTTTCTTCGCCCAGTGCTATTACCATCCAACAAGAAAAAAAAAAGGAAAAATGCGGAGTAAAAACTGAATTTGTAATAAAAAATAGCCTTCGAGTTCTAGTGGGCGGGACAACTACTGAGGCGTCAGAACTGCCATTCATGAGAGCCAATAAATCATTGTTACTTCATTTCCAAAGACAGTTTCCGTGGGCGTCCTTCCTTGTTCAGGTCCATAATCTGCCCAACTTTCGCTAGTTTCACAGTAAGTGAAGAAGGCGCTGCGGCTCTCACAAGTGGCAGTTCTGACGCCTCCCTAGTTTTCTCGCTTACTGTAACTCAGTAGCTGTTTCGCTTCACTGAGTTCAGTTTGTCTTATTAAGCGCCGTTTTTCTTTTTTTTTTGCTTAGACTGGGCATTAGTTAAGGCGCGAAGAAACGATCAGTCATCCAGTAGGGGCAAGATATCGCTTGACTGGCACAGAACAAGCAGGTACGGAGAACTCGTTCAGTAAGGCTGCCAGGTCCCAAGGTGTTTTCCATGATTTTTGGTTTTTTCTTTCCTGGAGAGCCAGTTAGCGACTATAGGTCTGTAGCGCTACTATCCGCTATACGCAATCGCGGAGTTTGCTCTTGAGGACGCTTTCCGCTTCTGAACTAATGTTTTGAACCAGAAATCCACAACTCAGTGATTTATAAGGGCCATTCCAGCAGAAAAAAGTCGTAACCCTCGAGGCCATTAGTCAACCAACGCTGCCCACGGCATAGCACGGAATAATCGCATTTCTGTTATTCCAATAAATTCTCATGTACGACGAGGCTGAATAAATTCGTTGTAAATGGGGGTTGGTAATCAATAAATGTTGACTGCATACCATTAAACACACTGCTTGCCATCTTGTAACCTCCCTCCCTCCCTCCCTCACTAATCGAATTATATGTTTTGTACAATTTGTTCCATTTACCAACATTTAGGAGAACATTTCAAAAGCGAAAAACATACTGTCAAGACAGGAACTTTGATTTCTTGATTATCTCAAACTTTCTAGGTTCTCTAGCTGAGATGGGAGCGGAAAATTGGCACGCGATTCCACTTGCATAAAATCTGGCGCTGATAGCCTTAGAGGGGACATAGAAAGGGCTCCGTGGAAAACGAGGATCACCTCAGCAGAGAGGTAGATTTTTGCTCGAGCCTAAAGACAAGCTGCTCGGTAGAACCAGTTGCAAGTACAGTAATCTCATCCTTATCTATGTAGTCCCAGCTTTGCATAAAGAGTCCTTTTTCCCCTACAGGTTATTAGCGCCCTACTTCTCTCCAAATGAAAGGTTGTTGAGAGTAGGGGGGGGCAACCACTTCACACGTCATCACACGTCATTTCCGCTTGTGTGCTCCCTCTCATGGAATAGCAAAGTAGTCTACACACGCATTCTAAGCTTTCGGAAATACCTGGAAAGACGATTCAAGACGTGGCAGCGGTGCTGCCGCATCCCCCCCAACTGTCTTTTCTCTGTCATCCTTCCGTATTTAGACGAACAATGCTCACAAGAGCTACCACTGCGCCGAGGTCGAAAAGTCGGTTCTGAATGCCACAACCACAAAAAAGGAAACCGGTTCTGACCGTCTAATATAAGGGGAGCAAAACAAAAGGGATTAAGGATCATATTACCACAAAATTGACGATCCAGGAATAAATATGAAATTTTCAATGAGAAGGTAGAGAAAAAGAAGAAAAGGAGCCAAAAAGAGTGTCAAAGCTGGTTACGGGCTAGAGAAATCTTTAGCTAGCTGCTCCTTTTTCTGGGCACATTGAGGAAATGGCAGCTCAGAAGGAATCATTCAGCAGTGGGTTCAGTTTACGTTTGGTCCAGGGAAGAAACGCCTTCAG